AACCCAAACTGGACGTAGGGCACATTGCCTGAACCAGTATAACCACTGTGTCATTGAGTGCTAGGCCACCTCCGATCACAACGTACGACAAAACTACAAATATTTACTAGTTGGTCACATTCTGCACCGACACTAATTTTCACCCGTGGTGCTCCATCGGGGCCCCGAAAGATGCAGCCCACTAAAAGCCCAGCAACCAACCCTAAATATATAAGCTTGATTGCCTTAAACCCTCACTCCCTCAGCCTCAGCCCTCGACCCCATCTGCACGGCCGCACCCAGACGGCAGGCGCGTGGCTCCGCGCAATCTAGCCATTCCACGACGTCGCCGACATCTCCAGCCTCGCCTCCACGACCTCGCCCCATCGCCAGTCCACGATGTCGCCGACCTCCCCACCTCGCCAGCGAATCCAGCAGTCTAGTAGGTACGACGGCACATCCCTTCCCTAGATCTCAAGCTGCTGTATCAATGTGTGCCATTTTCTCAATCTTCTCATGTGGCCATGTATATTTTTGCCTTTTTCATTTGACAGTAAGTGAGCAATGTCGACTCTGGTGCTACAAGTGGATCTCAAGCTGCTGCTGTATCTCAATCTGTGGGTTCTCGTCCTCAAACTCGTCCTCGTCTTGCATCCTGTTCAGCAACACCGCCATTTGGTTCAGCAGCACCGGCAACTGATTCTACGACTATAGGTAATTATGATGTGGTAGAGGTAGAAGATGATGTCCCTGTTGGTTGTAAGAGGAAGCTAAGATCTGAAGTATGGAAAGACTTTGATTTGATTAATGTAAGTGGGGTTTGGAAAGCAAAATACAAATGGTGTAAAAAATATTTAGGTGGGGAGACAAGAAATGGTACAACTCACTTGAAGAATCACATTGTTGTATGTCAGGACAGAGCTAGTAGAAAAGGTTTAACACAATCTACTCTTAAATTATCTGCAAACCCAAAAAATGGCAGTGTCACATTAGAGAAGTATGTGTTTGATCAAGATGTCACTAGGAAAGAACTTGTTTTAATGATTATTGTCCATGAGTATCCTCTTTTCATGGTGGGCCATGTTGGATTTCGCAACTTTTATGCTGCATTGCAGCCAGCATTCAAGTTAGTGTCTAGAAACACAATTAGGAAGGATATCGTCGATATGTATCAAGTGCAAAAGCAATCAATGGTGAATTATATCAAGAAATTGAGTTCTCGTGTTGCTGTTACTGTGGACTTGTGGACAGCAAACCACCAGAGGAAAGGTTACATGGCAATTACAGCCCATTTTCTTGATGAAGATTGGAAGCTAAAAAGTTTTCTTATTAGGTAACAATAAATCGCATCATTTTATGTTCTTGTGTTATGCATTTTGTCTATTGACTATTGAGAGCAATCTGTCCAACACAATCACTTATCATATTTTATTGTTGTAGGTTTATTTATGTTTCAGCACCACATACAACAGAGGTTATAGCAGAGGTTCTTCATGAAGTTTTCCTAGATTGGCATATTGAGAGGAATCTGTCCACTATAACTCTTGACAACTGCAGTGTCAATGATAACATGATGAAGACTATGATTGGCACCGATGGTGATGACCTTGCAAAGAACAAGGCTGCTATAGAAGGCAAGTTACCACTCCGCTCTTGTATGTTGAAGGGCAAATTAATTCATATGCGTTGTGCTGCACATATTTTAAATTTAATTGTGAAAGATGGAATGAGTGTCATGGAGAAGGGAATTGATAAAGTGCGTGATAGTGTTGCATACTGGTCTGCCACTCCTAAAAGACATGAGAAGTTTGAGAAAATGGCAGCACAAATGAAAGAAAAATATGAAAAAGGAATTGCTCTTGATCGTAAAATTAGATGGAACTCTACTTATACTATGCTTAGCACTGCACTAGTTTACCAAGATGTTTTTTAGCACCTTGCTTCTCGTGCTCCATGTGTTCCATCTGCAGAAGATTGGAAGTTTGCTAGAGAGCTTTATGATAGGTTGAAGATGTTCTATGATGTAACTGAGCTACTATCAGGCACTAAATATGTCACAGCCAACCTTTTCTTATGTGTATGCAAGCATGGTCTCATAACGACATGTTATGGATATCATTCAGTGGTGGCAAGTTGCAGGGCTCAAATACCCAACATTACGAAAAATTGCACGTGATGTCCTTGCTATTCCTGTGACAACGGTGGCATCCGAGTCACCCTTTAGCACTAGTGGGAGAATAATCAGTCCACATCGTAGTAGGCTTGCACCATCAATGATTGAGGCACTTATGTGTATGCAAGCATGGTCTCATAACGACATGTTATGTAAGTGCAATTTCTGTAAGCAGAGGTTCTTCATTCTGTATAAGTTGTAAAACTTGTGTTGGTGCTTTGATGACTTGTCTTGATGAAAAAGATGAAGAAATAGTATTGTTGTTGTTTCCTTCTATATTCAACTTGTGAATTTACATTGCGTTGAACTTTTAAGTAATGAGCTACTCTCTCTATTTTTATTTCACAGGATGAAGATGAATCCACTATAATTGATGAATGATGAACTTTGTAATAATCTGGACAGTGTGTGCCTCCAGCGAAGATGAATGCCTCAAGTTGCCTATCTATTTGATAAAAAAAACTCTTATTTGTATTAATTTTCAACTTATGTTATTTGTTTGGACTGTAATATGTGATATGTACTGAATTTGGGTTGCTTCTCAGTAGTCAGTACATGGCATTGCCATAGACTTGCATGTTTGATGTTTCTAGACAATGGACATGGCTATCCTACCTGCAACCTGCTAGCCTGCTAGGCTGCTACTCTTATGTTCTGTACATTGCCTACTACTTGCTAGTACTTTCATGGTGTATCCGCGGGTTTCGGTTTTGGGTGTCCAGAGACTCCACCCGATCCGAACCCGTCCCGTTGCCATCCTTAAGCCAAATGTACAACATCTAATAAAAAAACTGAATCAATGAAACAAAATCGATGCCAAAAACGACTGCACCTTAGCCTCGACCTACACCTCCACCTCCACATACTAGACAAACACGAAAACACAAAAAAGCAAAATTTGATTAATTGGAGCCTAATGGTCACCCAAGTAATCATACGAACAAAACAAATGAAAAAAATTATAAAACAAAATTCTGAGGCCATTGCAAGAACCAAGAAAATCAAAGAAAATTAACAAACTACAGAAAAAAATTCTATGGAATGCAAAAACCAAAAACTTTCTTAGGGCATTGGATGAACCAAACATATCAAATAAAATAAACAAAATACAAAAAACAGAATTTTTCTGTGGATTGCAAATACCAAAATAAAAAAAAACTGAATCAATGAAACAAAATCGACGCCAAAAACAATTGCACCTCAGCCTCGACCTCCACCTCCACCTCCACATACCAGACAAACACGAAAAAACAAAAAGGCAAAATTTAATTAATTGGAGCCTAATGGTCACCCAAGTAATCATACAGAACAAAACAAACGAAAAAACTATAAAACAAAATTCTGAAGCCATTGCAAGAACCAAGAAAATCAAACAAAATTAACAAACTACAGAAAACAAAAAATTTCTATGGAATGCAAAAACCAAAAACTTTCTTAGGCCATTGGATGAACCAAACATATCAAATAAAATAAACAAAATATAAAAAACATAAATTTTCTATGGATTGCAAATACCAAAAACAATATGAGAGCATTGCATGAAACAAACAAAACAAAACAAAAACAAGTACAAAAAAACAAAAAATTTCTATGGAATGCAAAAAAAAACCGATTTTGACGGCATTGGATCAAACAAACAAATCAAAGTACATACAATGCAATAAAACTATGAGACACACATGTGCCTAATAAACTTTTCCAACTTGTATTACATACATTCATAATACCTATCGATTACACCTGATTAAGGACTGTAAGTATAGTTGACTGTAGTGTAAATGAAAAAATTAATTCATAGTCTATATGATAATATATAGTACTAGTATTCTATGTATTACTGTACTAGTACTAGGCAGGTAATTGATAGTCAGCTCACGAAAGCAGCGACCATCCCAATGACCAACGAGTCTAGCTACCTATCCTCGCCCTGGATTTGAGCCGAGCGTCCGGTGGAGAGGCAGCGGAAAAGCGGCCCAGCCACCATGCAGCCATGTACTGCCCTCAGCCTGGCCGCGTAACATCTTTGCCGTCCAATTTGTTTAGCTTCGTACGGTGAGCGTGCGGCCCCACTTGAACTCGTAGCTTGTGGTGAGGATGGAAGCCAAAAGCAGATCCAATGAACCAGAAATCGTGTGATGGATGGGATTAAATCACCCGAGTGAAGTATAGCTTTACTGTAATTTTATCAAAGTTGAGGAAGACAGTCATAGAAGGGGAGAGAGGGGGGAGACAGAAAAGAGAATTTCAAGTATGATGGCGGAAAATTTTCCTATGTGATAAAGCTTTTCCTTAGCTAATGTTCACAACAACTTTTTTGGCCAGAAATTAGGTGTTTTCCCTTTTGGCTCAGTTGCTTCTTTTCCCTTCTCGTGCACTATTGAAGCAAAGGACACGCAGACAAATTAATCGTTCAACCTCCATGGCACAACCGTCACCCTCAGGAGCAAAAGGCCAGGACAGGAAAAAGGCTACGGATCAGCTGCCGAGCCGGGGCAGCTAGCATTTGCACCAACCGATGCAAGGGCAAAGATCGGGCCATCAGCATTCAGCGCACACACACGCATTCGTTTACGTAGACAGCTACGAAGTCGTAAACACGTACTGCATGTACCCTTCACTCTCAGATACTACATAGGCGTACGCAGATACGTCGATAAGTACAAAGATTATGCTATTAATGCGAGTACTTAGCAACCTGCACCACAATCAGTGGGAGTGTGGACAGTGAGCTGGCTAGAGGTTAAGCTTGCTGATCGCCGCCACGCAGCCCACGCTATATAACCATCACTCACCCGCCCGCTTCTTCCCACTGCTCGAGCTCGCTCAGCTCAAGGAACCCACACAGAAAATGGCGCCTCTACTCCACCCTCTCGTGCTCGCGCTCCTGATCGCGTCCTGCGCAGCGCAGCAGTCGCCGCCGGCGCAGCCCCCGCCGACGCCGAACGCGCCACCGTCCAACTCCCCGCCCCAGGCGCCTCCGGCCGGCAACCCGCCGCCGGCGCCTCCGGCAGGCAACCCGCCTCCCGCGCCCACCGCCACTCCACCTCCGGCTCCGACCACGCCGCCCCCGGCACCACCGACCACTCCTCCTCCGGCTCCCACAACGCCGCCCCCGGCCCCGCCGACGACTCCTCCTCCCGCGCCCACCACGCCGCCTCCGTCACCGCCGGCCTCGCCCCCGCCCGCTCCCACCACTCCGCCGCCGTCTCCCCCGGCGAGCCCGCCGCCCGCTCCCGCCACCCCGCCCCCGTCTCCGCCCCTGGCGCCGCCTCCCGCCACGCCCCCTCCCCCAGCCACCCCGCCGCCGCCGGCCGCCGCGCCCACGCCGTTCCCGACGCTCCCGCCCGCGGCGACACCGGCCGCGTCCCCGAAGAGCCCCAAGGCGCCGAGCCCCGCCGCCGCGACGTCCCCGGCGCCCTCGCTCTCGCCCACGGGCACGCCGACGAGCGAAGACTCGGGTGCGCGCGCGCGCGCGGCCGGCTTCGCCACGGTGGTGGCGTTGGCTGGCGCGGGCCTCGCCGTCCTTCTTTGAGTAGTAGACTCCGACTCTTCCCGCCGATGTCGTCATCCCCTCCCCGTGCCTAGACGTTGCTGCGCTCCATTTCCATTTCATCTCTTTCTTTCTTTCTTTCTTTCTTTCTTTCGTTCGTGTTGTTATTTAATTTTACCGTCCCTATGATCGATTCTTGATGTACGATGATGATGATGCATTGGTTAAGTTGCTTTGGATCCGCGGGCGGGTGGTGGTTACTGGTTAGTGTTCTGCCCGCGGGTGTCGATCGCCCTGTACTTTTACCGCACTACATTTTGGTTCTATAGAGAGAGGATTTGTGTATATTTGGTGCATTATTTCTATGGCCGTTGAATACATTCTCTGTGCAGCTTATTTACCGTGATCTTGTACCGTGCTGGACTGGATCTTGACGACCTTACACTAGTACCGGTGCTGAAAATTTCGTACCGTGTTGGACTAAAGATCGATCCCATGCGAGCATTTCAATGTGTTGGTTCAGAATTCAGAGTAATAGCGTGTAATGTATACCATGGTACACTGGCATTGGCATTGCAGGTGGTACTATTTGTATGAAATACGGAGTAGCTACGAGCAGGTCTATGTGAGAGTGTCCACGTGACCACGTCCAAACTTCGTGCTGTGCTGGTTCGGATTCAGAGTTGGTGCAGTTACCACGGCGCGTTTGCAGGTAGGAGGAAGTAGATAGGAACACGTCCATGTGAGTGCATGTGCAGCTGTAAAAAGCACGGACGCTTTTAGATCACGAAAAATTTTCCCCACGTCTTGCTTGGATCTAGATGCGGAAAGCGGGAAATGATATGGGCTTCACTATTTGAAAAATATGACGCTGACAGAAACTAGTGCGTCCTTGATGCAATCATTATTATCTGGGACGTTATGCTGAATGAAAAAAAAAAGTAGACACTATTTAGGGAGTGTTCGGCTGGAAAAAAAAACATTGTTCATGCTGATTTTTACTGTTTATTCGGTTTTATTAAGAGAAAAATATTGCTCCAACTAAAAAAAGGACAGCCAGCTAGCCAAATCTGGTCAGCCGAACACAGCCTAGCCTCTGGGCCCAACATGAATTAGTCTGGTGTCATGAAAAGATGTCAGAGAAAAAGCGGAATAGTAAAGCTGAAAAAAACTACGGGTAGTTGTGATAAAAAAAAACTACTGGTAGTTAATACTAGTAACATTTACCTACAACGAACTAATAAAGCATTTACCTACAACATCATTCGTCTAGCTAGCTTTCCCTAGAGAAACTGAGTCATACCAAATTGTAAAAATTCGTTAGTACTCCCTCGGTTCCAAATTATTTTAAACTATAGATCGAGGTTTTGACATTTTTTTGTACATCAATTTTGGAACAGAGGGGATAGCTTTTACACAGTGAGCTTGGAGCATCAAAAAGGAAGAGAGAGAAAAAAACAGTGTCCTCCGATTCAAGCTTGCCCCCACGTCGTTTCGTGAACTCAATTTTGCATTACCCGCGCTCAGCAATACAGAGCCCTCGCTGAATCTGTAAGTTGAGTTATCTATCTACCTAGGTAACTCCATGCATTATGAAGTCCAGTGTATGTAAGCTAATAAAGATGTTAAATCTCGGCATCCACGTGAAATGATTAGAAATCTTCTCACCAACCATTGGTTTAGAATTCGTACTAGCGATCACCGAGCAATTGCCACAACACGAATGTACTAGTGCTACACTCAAAGTTGATATATGATGCAGGCCACGCCTCTGGAAACTGCGGGTGGGATCGAGGACACAAGCGGGCAAACACAGCAGTGCCAACGTGACATGCCGGCGGTTGGTGGGAGGTGGCGGACTGGCGGGATCAGAGGAGTTCGCGCCATCACCCTGAATGAATTGAAGGTGATCGCTCCGCCCGCCGCCAGCCGATGGACCCCGGGGACGCGCGTACCGGCACAGATCACTGTCCTGTGTCGCCCCTGCGCCACGTCGCTCAGGTACGGCGCCAGCCCCGCCGCCGCCCGGGCCGCCACACTCTCCTCTCGCTTCGGAGGCACGCCATGCGTGGGGGTGGGATGGGATCATGTCATCATGCTCATGCATGGGACATGGGACATGCGGCTGGGAGGGATCCTGCTCACACTGGGATCATTGGAATCCGTTGTTGGAGCTGTGCCGGGCTGCCGGCGACGGCGAGGCTCATGGCTAATTGGGTCGAGCATTTCGGCACAAAGGCGTTTCGTGCAATCGTGCTGCCTCCACCGGGCAAAAGTAGAATCTGCTTCTTGGTTGTTCGAGCGAACGAAGGGCAGGTTGGGTTTTCGGTTAAGCCGTTGGAGCGGTGCGTGCCTGAACGAATGACGCTACGCGCGCGGAAATGCGTCCCGGTTCATTGGGGCGTAACCTGTCGTTTTCGCTGATGATGAAAGGCGCTTTCAGCCTGATTTCTCGCTTCAGCCTTGCATGCACATAAACGGGGAGCAAGGTGTGGTTGGACGGGCCATGGCGCCATGATGCGGCCGTGGAGCCGTCAGAATTTCAGAAACGCTGAGCACAGCTGAGGTGCTAGGATTAATGTTCTGGAGTCTGGACCATGAGTCCATGAGTTCAGGTCGTTAGGGGCATATATGGTGCATAGTGCAAAACTCAAGCCTACTCTTATCCGTGTTCATGATAGGCCGGTAGGTGTGGAAATGGATTTTTTTTTTCTAGGTAGAAGTTGATACCAATTATCCATTTTTGTCTGATTCCGTGTCTGCTAAAAGTTTATTATAAATATAGATACTAAAATAGATGCATCTTTTTTTGTGAAAAAGATCAAGCTTTATTATTACTCAGAAGAAATGTTACAGCCTTAAACAATAATTTGCCCAACACACTAGAGACGAACTAAAGTTGATCTGCTTGGTCTAAATAAGATAATGCTTCGTGGACACACATCTGTGAATGGAATTGATAGATTTGTTGACGGCATGATTTTTTTTAAGATGCCACGTGTCATCCATCTAGTGATTCTACTAAGAATTTGAAACGTTTCTCGCTGCCAAATGCACATCAAATATCAAAATCACGTTTCTCGCTGTCAAACGCACCTCAAATATCAAAATCTCTCTGCAGCAGCCGTGCAACAACTTTGGCCCACGATGCAGCTGAAAGGTCCTAATGACTAGAGGGAGATGAATAGCCTATTAAAAAATTCAACAACAACACTAAGACAGGTGATTAGTAAGTAAGATGGCGAAGCAAATTTTGCGCTAGCACTACACTTTTGTTGCAAGCCACCTACCCAATTCTAATGTCTATGATCTCTAGTATATCAAACAAGAGCTATGTCACTAATTTACACCTAGGTGATCAAAACTAGCTACAGAACTGTGGCAGAACCATCCAAATTATGCTGGCCCACGTGTACCCGTCATTGTCCTAAAGACCTCTGACTGCTGTACACGAAAGTCAGATAATCCAGTAGTCTGTCGGGTGTCCTCGGAGAACCCCGAATCATCCATATTTTAATTCTGCATAAAAGCACTCACTTTGTACCACAAAGTTTATTTTAACAAAATTTTATTTATTTAAGCAAAATTTTAGCCTATTAATTCACAAAGATCCTTAATCATTATTAATGACACCATTTCATGTATTATATAAAACACATCAAAAGTAACATATTCATGCTATAAATGAAACATGGAATACATTTATAACACAATGCTTGATGATTATGCTTCATGATGATCATGGTTAAGTTTTTAATTGCTTTTTAACATCTAGGATGTTACAAGAACTATAACTAAAGAGCTACACTAGTTACAAGCACTACACAAGGTAAATACAAAGTAACGCGGGAGAATGGTAGAAGTGATATACCGCCTGGCAAGTGATCAATCAATGAATACCAAGGAGAGAAATGATGACACAATCAATTTTTCCTCTGAGATTCACTTGCTTGCCGATAAGTTAGTTCCCGTTGTGGCGATTCACTCACTTAGAAGTTTATGCGCTAATAGGCATCACACGCCTAACCCGCAATCGGATGCCGCACAACCAACACAAGATGAGGATCCACGAGCCACGCGCAATCCACTAGAGTTGCCTTTGGCACTCTATCGGACAAGGCACAAGAACCCCTCACAATCACAATGATCGGAGCCGGAGACAATCAGCTTCCTCCGCTCGACGATGCACCAATCACTAGGCTGTCTAGGTGTCGGCAAACACCAAGAGTAACAAGATCTCCACCAGCCCAAATCATCCAACTAGTGCCACAAGATGCTAGAACACTGAGCAATGCACTAGAGGCTCTCCAATCTCACTCAAGATGATGAAATCAAGTGTGCAAGTGAGTGAAGTGGTGTGCTCAGCTCTCAAAGGGTGTATGCAGCTGTTAGAAGTGCCAAGAGAGTGGCCAAGGCCGTCCACCACCTCTAAAGGGGTAACACCTATCTCTGAAAAAATATGGCGGTGCACCACCCTCACAGCGGCGGTGACCGTGGCGGTCACCAACCCGATTTACCCCACTCTCTAGAAAAATATGGCGGTGGCACCGCCCCACCAGTGGTGGTGCACCGTCCTACCAGCGGCGGTGCACACCGCCCCTTCCGCTTCCTGCCTCACCTCCAACTCTTCTCTGCCACGTCCAGGTGGGCACCGTCCTAGGGGTAGCGGTGCCACCGGACAAGGTGGTGGTGCCCCACCCAAACACCCCCTTCTCGGCCTCTCCAGTAGGTCACCGCCATAGGAGTGGCGGTGCACCAGACAAGGGGTGGCGGTGCCCCTAGGGCAGCACCTCGAGCCAAGTTTTGCCTCCTTTTCTTTATCTTTTTCACCATCTTTGCAAATGTGCTAACACTCCAAGTGTTTCACCATCATGTGCAAGTGTGTTAGCATTTTCACAATCATTTTTCAAAGGTTATTCACTTCTTACCGATTGTGCAAAAATGCAATGCAAGTATTCCAACACATATTGGCACTAGATGATCAAGTTGTCCGATAAGAGCTCCCCTTTTAATAGTACGACTATCTATCATAAATGTGATCACACTCTCTACAGTGTCTCAATCACCGAAAAACAAAATGGCCCTATGGATATCACCTTTGCCTTGAGCCCCTTTTGTTTTTCTCTTTCTTCTTTTCCAAGTCCCGGAGCTTGATCATCACATGTGTTCACACCATCACCATGATATTTATTTTATGTTGCCATCTCCATCCATGAGTGCCACCTAGCTCCTTCACTTAGATTGGGCCATCCTATCTAGCCACACACTTAGATGCAAGGATTAGTCCAAATAGGTTTCATCAATTATCCAAAACCAAACTATGACTTTCAGCAGCTCAGTAACCTCAATGAGCAAAACTAGGGGTGTTAGTGAATTTGGATAATTTAAAATTCAATTGGGCTTTGTTTTGATTTGTATATACTTCCTCCGTTCTAAATTATAAGACATTTTGACATTTCTAGATCGATAATGATTAGACTCGGGTGTCCGTCGTCCGGACGGACTAACCCGCTCGTGCTGCTCGCCTACATCCCACGGCACCGCTCACACCACTCGCCCACATCACAAAAAAGAAACCATCGACGCGACTCCGCTCCATACTCGCAACCGCCGCACGTGATACCGCTGCTCCCAACATGACCGGTCAACGCCGTTGGCTTCGCACCGTCCGCGTCTCCGCCCCAGCCTCCCCTTACTCTCTCTCTTCCCTTTTTCTCCCGATGTGGCCCAAAGCGCGGCCACCTCCGCGTTGCGCATGGTCGGACCGGCGGTGCCCCAGCCGTGCGGCGTAGCCCCCGCGCGGGGTGGCCGCTTGCCTACATCGCGCGTTGTGCGTCTCCGTCCCACTTTGCCTCGCTGCTCCTTCCACCAGATTCACTACACGGCGAGAGATCCGATGGTGGTGGGGACTGCGACGCCGGCTGTCGGGGGCTGCGTGTTGAGCCCACGATACCAACCGCCACAAAGGTGTCCCCGCTGGCCTCGTAGTAGGCGGAGTCCATCTGGTCGATGGTGGCGACGCGCCGCTGCCTCCGTTGAACTCCACACGGGAGCCTCCATTTCACAAGCAGCAAGGTGATGTTATGCATGTTGCAAGCGTATGTTTCAAGTGTTTTGGATGTTTCGGAGGTATGTTGCAATTGTTGTACACTCATGTTGCAAAGGCCTATTCCCAATGTTTCAGTTGTGTTTTTGGACGTATTGTTGCAAGTGTGTTTATCTGGATGTTGCTTTCATTTCACATATATGCTGCAAATGTTTTATCTAGATATTGCGTATATTTGTAATGGTTTTTAAGTGTTTTTCATGTTTTTTTTGCAAGTGTTTCAGAAGCATGTTTCAAGTGTTTCATTTATCTTCAGACTTATGTTGCAAGTGTGTGCATCTGGATGTTTGGAAAGTAGATCGGGTGTTGCACATGTTGTAATACGCGTGAGAAGCGGAGGGGACGCGAGCGGTCCCCATGCGCAATGTGGCGGCGCGGGCGACGTCTGGGCGACGCAGGCCCCGCATGGGCACGTGAAACCCGAGGAGCAGGTGGGGGCATGCTGTTTTTTTAGCGAGCGTGGCGTGGATTGCTGGTGCGAGCGTGGGAAACTACAGCGCGGCCGTCCGAACGCGGGCCTCAGGCTGGACATCCGGGTGTTTGTCGTCCCGTTTCTAAATTCATAGCTTTTACTATGTATCTAAACATAATATATGTTTAGATGCGTAGCAGAAGCTATGAATTTAGAAAAGCCAAAATGTCATAATCTAGAACGGAGGGAGGTTTGGATTTGAATATCAGCATCAAAGGAGTTAGAATGATTGTACATGTATACAGCAGGATGCAGGAGTCTCAAACAAGCCATTCGCGAGCATAAACGTGAATTCAGAGTGCGTAAATAGTAAATACAATGGGCTACAGCCCATAAGCCTGCAAGAACCAACAGAAAAAGCAGGGAACAGAAAGAAACAGCACTGCATCTTGCCTAGCCCATCAGGGCGAGCCCAGCGAGCCCCGCGGCCCCGGCCAACACGCCCATAGCGAGCCGGGCCTCCCCACCGCAGGCAGCGGCAGAGCTGCTGGAGGTGGACTTGGTCGTGGCGGGCGGCGACGTCGCGGCGGGCGTAGTAGACGTGGACGGCGTGGTCGTCTCTGGAGGCGTGTCAGCGCCGGGCGCGGCCGGCGTGGCGGGCGGGGATGACGACGCCGGCGGGGTGGTGGCGGCCACAGCGGCCACCGTGACGGCGAGCTTCATGCCGTTGCCGCAGTGGCCCGGGGTGCCGCAGATGAAGTAGCGCGTGCCGGGCGCCGTGAGCGCGATCTTGGTGTTCTGGTCGCTGTAGGACTGGATGGAGTTGCTGGCCGAGCACGCGCTGTAGTCCGCGGAGCTCACCTCCGCCACCGTGTGCAGCATGCTGTACTGGAACACTGCATGCACCCGTGCACTTTGTCAGCCTCAGTGACCGACATGTGGGCTATCTTGTCGAGCTTGTACGTTGCTTTACAACCTTACGACTGTTAAAACTAGAAGTACGTACTCACCTAGGTTGTCCCCAACAGCGAAGGTTTTGCCGCTCGGCCAGGTGGTGTAGTCCACGCCGCTGGTCCACCCGGACGAGTCGCCGACCGTGTAATCCTTGGCGTGCGCCGGAGCGGCGACGGCAGCGATGAGTACCAGACCTGCCATGATGGCGGCAGCCATGATGATTGGAGACAGCTTAATCAAGAACACGGACCACCCGGCTGGCTTTGTTAGATGGACACAAGTAGACTTTTGCAGATGGCTTTGCTTAGCCGTGGGCACCACTGACTGAGTGCGGTGCCTTGGAGTGATCAATGGCTATATAGGACTGCGAAGCGAAGCAGGTGCTAACTAAAGCGATTTGGTAAGTTTTGGTGGAGTTGGTTCAGTTATGCTCGTCACCAACTCTGCCGCTCTGGCGTCCCCGGATTCCCTGGACAATTCATGGTGATACACGGACCAAAACCAACAAATTTGAGCTACGCTACGCTACCTATAGATGATTTTGTGGATTTGATTTAATGGAGATGATGTAACGGCGTCTGCTTGTTCAGGATTCCGATAGCTACTAGGCAGTTAGGCACTCACTAATCACGATTCACATGCCGTCCAATGACTATCTAACGCTCAGTGACGTGAAAACAACTGCGAATCACAGGGAAACTACGCAAATTTTGCTCATTTATCACAGGTGTTCTCAACTGCGTTACAACTTTCAGCACAGCGACGTGAGAACAACTGCGAATCACAGGGAAGCCGCAAATTTTTGCTCATATGTCACACAGGTGTTCTCACCTGCGTTACAACTTTCAGCGCGCGCACACACAGATGTTTTCTATAAAAAGAACTGTTTGCTGTTTCTGATTTAACCTGTTTTTAATTCCTAAGAACCTTAACAATCCTTTTTTCAGAGGAACTACGGCAGGCTTTTATGCTGACATGAACTCTTCATTATTGAATGCAAAGGAGGGTGAGCATATACAGGGCTTTGTTTTTTCGCAACACTTCCTTGAACGTTGACGCAAAAGCCTGAGATTCGCAGACGCAAGTACGCTGTACGCAACTACTACACCACTGACAACTCTTGATCACTTGAATGTCTTTGACCCTCATGGCTCATGCGTTGTGTGTCTAATTTGTCGGCATGGAGTTGTACTACCTACAAGAGCCGGTTAGTTTTTTTTTTGAGAAACTGAGTGATATTTCATTCACAATTTTTGGTGATTACAGCTCTTTCCTTACAAAGACACCCTCGAAAGAAAAAGAAATTGTACTCTAGTCCTTGTAAGCTCCTCCTGGTCTTCCTCGCCGCCTGCAGTCGGAGTATGCAACTTAAAGCCGACTTCCTCCCCGGCGAAGCAACACAGTTTTTATTTGCCGTCTTGAGCAGCACATCGGATCTGACATGCTTTGTCGACGCTGAACGACCTGGCTGAAGAAGATGGCCATTGACCATCACATCGCCAGACAATGAGGACTCCGACGCCTCGAGGACTGCCAGAAACCCTAAATCGCCAGACGACGAAGTACCCTGAAGGGGAACTGAACCACCAAAATAAGTGGGAACTAAACACCAACCCGATTTGACTTCATGTTGGTAAACAAACCTCCCAAGTTCAACGACAGAGAGACCAGCATCACCGACGAAGACAAATGAGGGGCAAAAAGACCCAACGAGATCTAGAGCTCCAGATCCGGGGAACTCACACCAAACTAGCTCATCACTGGCACCAGAAGACTCACCAGCGAGGCGGAGAAGAAGCAGGAGACACTTATTCCACCACCGCAGCCCCGCCTCCACCCTGCGAGCACTGCTTGGATCCAAACTACCTATACTAGATGGGGTATATGTATAACGGCCACCTCAATCCCGGTTCCCCATCCTCTCCAGCGCCGATCGGGCCGTCGGAGTGGAAGGGGAACGGAACAAATCAGCGCTGGACGGTGTTTGCCTCCTGGTCGCCTGCTCTCAACTGTAGCTAGGGAAGGGACGAGAAGAGAGGAGATCTTTGGAACTTTTTACAAGAGCTAGGTTAGCTGGGCAACAAAGTGAAGATCCCAGGCTGTAAGCTAATACATGGACAGAGATGTTGGGCTGGGCCTCGTCGTGTGTGAATGTAGCGCAGGCATGAGCTCAGCCGAGCAGAACACCTCTAATGATCAGACCAGAAGGTACTACAGTGGCCGGAAGAGCATGAAAGGTACAGCTCTAAGCCTCTAAGGATGCAGCTAGCAGTTTTTTTTTTAGAATTTTAGGGCCGAGCCCCGTCTATTACCATGAGTCAAACAGACAATGTATCTCATTACAGCCCAGCAAGTGGTAATGCCACTTGAAAACCATTCCAGTTCACGTTCCCAGATTTAACACCTGATAACTGCCCAATTACAAACTGAGCAAAAGAACGCAACCCAGCAGACAGAAACTAAACCAGAAACTACTCTAACAGAACAAAAAGACACCCAATCATCTGTCTTGATATCTCAGCATTCTTCGTTAAGATCATCAACTTGGCACACCCTCTGTCAGGCCCGAGAGCTCTGTTAGATAATCTATTGATTTCTTTACGAACACACAGCAAGAGGAGGCGACGCTGAAAAGGCTCCCTGCTGTGGTACTGTAGTCACTGTAGAGGCAGGTGCCGAACGGCTCACCTGTCGTACTGTAGCCACATGTAGGGACAGGCGCAGAAGTCAGTCCTGCTGTGTTATCTAGTCACTGTTGCAGCATGGGAGTTGTACTAGGACTAGATGGATAGAGTTGTATATATAGTTTGCCACTGCAACTCAACAAAGAGAGTTCAGTTTTGCCATCTCCTATACAGGGCTCCAGCCAACACTGATGCTTGTACTGTGTGTGTATGCTCTGTTCTCCATATTCTTTAACCTCTAGCCATAGTGTGTGGTCGGACAACGCTTGTTCGTGGTCGGCTTAGCTAGTGAGTGCTCGGCAACACTAGCGGGTGTCGGCAAGACTGGTGAGTGGTCAACTCACCTGAGCCGGTGATCCTGTACGCTAACAACCTCAGTGCACCACACCACCATGGCCAGATGCAGCTAGCAGTTTTGGTTGAGCCGTTGAACAAACCAGGATGATAGTTTTCTGCATCGTACCTGGCGCGGACCTATGACTTTAATCTATGCCACACCGATGATTGATTAGCTTTCCATTGTCGAGCAGGTTTTCTCTTTAAAAAAAAATTGTCAAGCAGGTGAGCTAGACGGCGATTGCTGTTGCTGGGCCATTCATGCAGCTGCTGTCAGCGTCTGTAATCACTAGTATTCATCAGGATTTGAGGGGCCCTGTTTTGGTGGACCGGTTGAGGCAATTATGTAACATGTTTAGCTAGTAGTATAGTAGTATTTCACTACAATTTTGCTTGCGTAATGAGTTTAGCAATGTACAACTAACCGTGGCCCTTTGAATTGGCTGACCTCTCTGTACTAAAATGTGCTCTTTTATTTGGTATCAATCATTTGAGTGTCGTTTACGGTCAGACCTGAAATTTCAGTGTTAGAAAGGCGACCATCATTCTGAATGACTGGTCACGACTTTTTTCCGCGAAGATGCCCATTTTCAGAGAGATGCAGCACTTTATAAGCAAGTTGTCGCACCAGTTTAGCTCAACAAATTTCCGGTCACTTTATAAGCACTTTTACATACATAACTTATTTCTGGTACAACAATACAGTATCACTCACTCTTTCTGGTACAACAATACAATACAGTATCACTCGCTCTCACCACTAAAATACAGAACTACTACATGCAGTCGCGCACAAAAAGATCAGCAACTAATAATCAAGTCAAATGTTTTCCACAACAACCGAAACAGTGATCGACTATTTCTCGTTCTATTTGGGGACAGTCACCGTGACCAGAAACCCTTTGCCATCGGGCATCACGACGACGAGCCCTTCATCATCCCCGGCAGTCACGATGCTGCAGGACACGTGCACGGGCTTGCTCTCCCTGAGCGCAAACTCCTGCAGCCCAAGGTCCTGCCACTGCGCAACCTCGGGCTTGTTGCCGGCCGGGACCGGCAGGCTATCCGCGGTGCACGTCTCCACGCTCATCCCTCTCGGGTTGTCCCCGACACCGTCCCTGGCGACGACGAGGAGCGAGAGCCGCGTCACCTTGGCCGCCGCGCCGAGCCTGTCGCTGGCCTCGTCGACGCATGCCCTGGCCAGCGCGCGGTGGTCGTCGCGCGCTGCCCCGGACCCGGAGGCGACTCTGAAGAGCACGGTCTCGGTGCTGACGGCGGCGTCCGTGGCGAAGGCGTCGAGCGGGACGGACTTGATGCGGCGGGTCATGGTGCTGGGGCGCTGGAAGTAGCCCGCGTACTGCATCACCGGGATGGCGGCAGCCTTGTTCTGCGCCTTCATCGCCGCGTGCGTGCGCGCCCAGGATAGGAGGAACCGCGCCAGCGACAGCGGGTCGCACAGCATCAGGCTGCAGCTCACGCCGACGGCGTACCCCCCGTCGCCCTTGAACCGTGTCAGCTGCACGCAGCAGAGAACAGCACGTCAGAGTAATGCTTCGTCAATCGTATCAATAATATAGTTGGCAAACTGCAGACTCGTGCTTCATTGCATGCCGTCTTTCTCACATTGGGTATCACATTCGTGTTCGGATATTAATTATAAAACCAATTACACAAGCTGTGACTAATTTATGAGATGAATATACTAAGCCTAATTAATCAATCATTAGCACATATTTACTGTAGCACAACATTGTCAAATCATGGACTAATTAGGCTTAATAGATTCGTCTCGCAAATTAGTCTCAATCAATTAATTTCGTAATTAATCTATATTTAATACTCTAAATTAGTGTTAAACATCCGATGTGACAGAGACTAAACTTTAGGAGTGGAAACCAAACACCCCTCAAGCACATTGATTTTTGTGTCAACATGGCAAGTTGTTGTGTGACCTGACGCCGTATTCGCTTGAACTTATCAGTTCGGTTTATCAGGCATGTCTCATAATAAAACAGCCGTAGCAAACTTATCAGCCGCAAAAAACCATCCGATGAATTTACATGACGTGCTTTTTCCTTTTCAAAACTTTTTTCCTTCTAAAACATTTATTAGTACTCCCACCATTCCAAAATATAGAGAGAACTATAAAGATTTATGATATCAAATAAATTTACTATAAAAATATAATTAATGAAGAATTTAACAATACAGTTGGTACAAATTTGACCAAACTTAAGATATTTTGAGTTTTGACTCTCTAAAAAAAATTAAAATGACTTATAATTTTGAATGGAGGAAATATTTATTAGCAGGAGCTTTTCGCCTCTCGATGGAACATTTTCACTTACTTATTTCTCCGTTTCAACGACTTTTCTAAATGTACTCCATCCGTTTAAAAGAATACAATTCTAAACATAAATCTAAATAAATATTTATTTTTTGCGAATATATTTATTTAAATTCATACAGTTGCATTTTCGAAGAGAGTCCTAGTAGCACAACAAAATATTGAGAGGAAGGACAGGATGGAAGGAGCAACATGGCTGACTTCTGGGACTCCTACATAGTGTATATACGGAGTATATATCAATATAAATATATATAGTAGTATATTGATATATATACAGTGCTTCTAGACGACCGTACGTGACACCGGTACTAGTACGTTAATGTTGGGAGGCATGAGGATCTGCGCACATGCTGTCAGTTTCCGTTCTGTTTGTAGGTGCATCCAAACTTAGGGTCGGTTTTAGGGGTCCCGTCGAATTTAATCAGACGTACTGACGTACCCAACAAACTGTTGCTACTTCTGGTAAAATTTTCGTTTTCAGTGTCTGCTCAACGAACTTCCTTCTCCTGACTTGAAGTTTTGCCCAAAAATGTGCACTCTATTTTTTTAGGTTAAAATGTACACTCTATTTGAAGCGAATCAAACGACGTGGCGAATTCGTAATTGACCCCAACTTCACTCTTACTATGACTATTACTATTACTCCAAGTGGAGTAAGGCAGTCTAATTCTCCACCAGTCTTTATAACTTCACTCTGATTTATTTACTTCAAGTGCTAGATGTTGTGGGATCAGGAATTCAGGATCAATGTCTAGAAATGGATACCCAGCAGTAAAATATAAGTACTCCTAGCGGTCAATCATGCAAAGCAGCAACCAAGCCTGTCAACTGCGACAAGACATGCGATCGGGTCATAAAAAAAAAGGAAAACGCCACGTATCGGATCGGATCACGCAACGCGCGTCGTCATACCTGTACGAAGCAGAGGGCGCACATATCGGGATCGTCGGCGTCCACGTGGGTCCACGGCGCGAGCGCGGCCTCCCAGCGCTCGCGGTCCTCCTCGTCCACGCCGGCGCCGACGAAGTCGTCCACCGCGGCCTCCACGGTGGCCAGCACGAGCCTGACGCCCGTGTCGTTGAGCTTCACCTCCCAGCTGGACCCGGACCCGTCGTCAGCGCCGCGGCGCCGGAGCCGGCCCGCCATCTCCGGGTAGTCGGCCACGGCCTCGCTCAGCGACTCCTTCACCAGGAGCGCCTCCTCCGGGCTCCACGCCGCCGGCGCGTCGGCGGCCGCGGCCGCGCGGTAGTAGAGCACCACGCGGGACCGGCGCTGCAGCGCCGCGGCAGGGAGCGGGGCCGCCGCGGCCACGGACACGGGGCGCGCCCGCCCGGGCTCCACCGCGCGCGTCGGCATCGCCGTCTGCAGGGCCTCGATATGGACGTGGCGCGCGGGCGCGGGCGCGGCGGACGCCATGTTCTCTGTTCGTTTCGGTGCGGGGCGCGGCGACCGCCGGTGGTGGATGCAATGGGTTCCCTGAGCGGTGGGAGGGACCGAGGGAGGCCGGCGCAGGTAAGGCAGCTGGCCGAGCGCTCGGCTTGTCTGCTTCGGATCGGATGTATAGGTGGAGTGTCGGTGGACAGAGTACGTAGCCATCATCCGTGGTGGACACAACCTGTACGAATACAGCTCCTTAAGCTCTATACTGACGGGAGATGGTTCCCGTTTCATTCAAATGGATTGTTAAGCATATGTTTGGTTTATTAATGGGTTTGCACTGGGCTATCCCTTTCTATCAAACTCTCAACCTGTTCGCATTGACTAGAATCTTAATTTGCAGTCCGGAGACCTGTATTGCAAGTTCTTGTTTAATAGATTGCTTATATTGATTTACATGTCTTTTCTTTTTGTTCTTTCTTTAACATAATATGGAAATAGATACTCTGTAATATCATTTCAGTCACGATAAACTTTTACTACATATTTTTTTCATCCATGTTCATAGTTTTTGCTTGAGCTAATAGGTGCTAATAGGTGGTTGGATAGTACAAAATCAGTACGAAGTTGCAGAGATAGACTAGAGAATGAAGTGGCAGCTCCTCGCCAGCATCCTGCTGAGAGAGGATCTTTTTGTCTCGGTCCTTGTGTCTCAGTCGGCGAGAAGCCAACCACCGGTTCAATACTCTCTCTCTTCTAACGTGGCTTTGTGCTGATGACGTGGATCCTTATTTCCCCGGCTTAAAATCGTTATTACACCTGCTCTTATTGTAGCACTAATGTGGAAACTTACTTCCGCTATAAAAAAGAAAGATTGTTTAGACACCCCAACCGTTTTACATGAGACTCAATAGACCAGCCACAGCCACAGGTGTAGTTGGCATGTTCCTTAGCTTTGAAACGACTAGAAACCTATATCTCACAAGTGTTTCTGGCATGAGTAGCTTGTGAAAATGTTTAAGGCTAGACTCACAGAAAGTTTTATAGTAGATATTAAATAAGCTAAAAAATATATTGACCTGCCACAATTTTTAGGAAAATGAATTTTATTTTGATCCCTACAGGATTTTTCCACACAACCATTCTTTATTATACTTTTAGCCTCCGGCTATAAAAGCATGCTCTCAAAAAACAACACTAACAAATGAGACGTAGTTTAGACTACAATAATTCTACTAGGCGACAATCATCCATGTTTGGCGAAGATATCTAAAGCCAATGCCCACTTCAGCCTTGGTCTGTTGCTTTTCTTTTGGAGTATGGTCCATAAGCGTGTCCATGTACATAACCCAGAAAATAACCCGCAGATAAGCACAATATAAATAAAGGGAGAGATGATCCTAATTTTATGGAGTGAAATGAATACTATGAGGATGAATCCAGTCTACATTGTTTCCAATACATGTGAGCTTTGGAAACTGGGAATAAAATCTCCACTAAAACTGACCAAAGAAAAAATGTTTTCATCTTTTTAATTAATTTGAATTTGGCAATAAAAATTTGTAGAGAGTGAAAGGCTCAGGATGCCCAAGAGGGGAGAGGGGGGGTGTGAATTGGGCAAATCTAAGATTATCGCGAAATTAAAATATCATGTAGCCCATTTCACCCTTCTGTCTAAATGAGTGTTTCTAGCCTACCACACAAAGTTTTGCAACCTAGTTCCAATTCTAGTCTAGCATGGTAATTCTAGGAATGTAAATATATGAAAGTATATGCTCAAATGTAAAGAAGAAGGGTAAGAAACACGTTGTTGTTTTCTTGAGGTATTGCTTCGCTTTGATCCATGCAAGTACCAAGTGTTCTCTACGGGTTGATTCTTTGCCTTCGGCATGGTGAATCACTCACAATCGTTTACACCATGAGTTGGGCTTCACACAATCATCACTGAGAGATCACCAAGCTCTCAATCACCACCAAGCTATCTAGGTAATGCTATTCACCAAGGATAATAAGCACAAACTCTCACTTGACCTAACCAAGCCTAATGAAAAGAGTGGATGCACACTTGTTACTTTGTAAGAACTAATGGAGTCCTTATTCTTCGAATTAGCAAACCTAAATCACTCCACTAGCCTCAAGCTCTCTCTTAGTCACCAAAGGGTGTATGCAATTGTTCTGAATGCCAAGAGAGCTCTCTTGCATGAGATGGCGATGGGTATATATAGCCCCCACTCCAGAAACTAGCCGTTTGAAGCGCACTCCATTTTTTTTTGTACTCATCAATAAATCCGATGCCTGTTTGAGCTGGGCACCGGGTTTATCGGTGTCTCTCCAATGGCTAGAATCCAGCTAGTCGTTACTGTATGACCACTTGTGGTGCATCATCCGGTGGTATCAAACCCTTACTAGAACCTCTCTGGTGAGCACCAAATTCTCCAGTAACCCTCACCGAATTATTCCAATGAGTCTAGAACCTCTCTGTGCGCCGTGTCCACCAATTGTTGACTTGGACGCCTTTTCTCTGGTGCCATCAGAAGAATAGGTGGCATTGTTCATCGAATAGTGAAACCACTACACATACCGTATTTCTCCGATGCACCCCTGACTAGGGCACCGGATGAATCCTGTGCTGTCAAAATGGCTCCATTTTCATCCAATTTAAACACCTTTGAAAAAGGACTAACTTCCAATTGAACTTAGGATTTCCTCTGAGCTACCTAGTGCTAAGTTTGACAAGTGTGCATCACATCCATTCAATAGATTTACTTGGGATCAAGATGCCTGTTTATACCCCTTTGTAGTATGACCAAAAGAAAAAATAAAGTCCTAAACTACTCTAAGTATTCCGTCAATTAGTCCTAAACTATTGTACGTCTTGTGCGTTTGCTCGGTGCACCATATCCACCCAATAGACTTTTTTTAAGATTAAAGAACAAATGTATTCCGGTCACCCACCACTCAATAGACTTAGTTGCACGATCCGTATAGGGTGAAATGGGTTCATAAAACAATAGAGGCTAGATTACCACTCACTATTTTTTTGAAACTACACTATTTTTTTTTAAAAAAAAGGAAAGAGAGCTCTCTATTTTTTTTTTGATCGGAAGAGAGCTCACTATTGGGTGATTGGGTTCATGGCCGTGGACCGGAGAGAGGATGTTAAGCCGAACACGTTGCCTGGTCATTACGGGCCGCCCCTATCCCGGCCCGGCCTTCCAGGCGGCCGGGGCCCGAGCAAACGCACGGGCGCAGGGGCCGAGGCCGACGCCTCCCGCGACTCCGCGAGGCCAGCGATGGCCCAGGCCCACGGCCCCCGCGGGACGCGGACGCGGCTCCAGTTTTTTTTTTTTCCGTTCCACCCCTTGAACTGTTGAACACCTCCCACGTTTGCATAATTGCATCTCCAACTCCCAAGAACCTGCCTCGCGTTTCTCCTCCCCCAGATCCATCAATTCGTTCGGAGTTTCGGACCGCCCTTCCCGTCGTCCCCGTTCCAAAGCGCGGCAGGCTGAGCGATTCCTTCCGTCAGATTTGAGTCGTCATGAATCCCGAGTAGTAAGGCCTCCGATCATCCTTCCCTTCTCTTCCGAGCCCATCACCGTGATCTATTCCGTTGGATTTTCGCTTGTTGCTGGTGGTCTGTGGTTGCGTGGTTCCGTATGGAATTTACGGGGATCTGATCAGGCGCGCGCTGGTGGGTCTCACTAGTTAGCTTCCGATCTGGATCTGGGAATTCGTGATTTCCTGTTGGGATTTCGTGAATGAAAGGGCCTCCTGCGGCCGCGGTGCTTTGGTCTACCTTCATGGAGGAATATTCATGTTATACAGCTTGATGCATCTTTCATGGCTGTGTTTGTTCGGTTTAGATTATGCTTTGCTTTGTAAGGCGTGGTGAGGATGCTCTCTGGTGTAGAGGCATAGGCTTCCTAGTGGAAAATACCTGGACATGGGGTTTTATTGGGGAAATTACCATGGGAAATAGTTATCGGGTTATGACTTCTGTTTATATTTTACGATGAACGGTTTCCCCTGCATGAACATTGTACTGTAGATTACTGCATTTGTTAACTAATTTGCATATGTTGCGTTTATGTAAAGATCATAAGATAAGTTGTATTAGTGATAGTTGTGGTTGAACATCCATTATCAGCCATAGTTGTGTTAGCCATTTATGTGTTCAACATGGAACAAGTATATACTATGTTTAAAGTGTTGCGCAGCCAAGTATTTGTCTTGTTTATAATATGGTTGTAGTAGAATACTGAACCTATGATAACTCAATTAGAAGGAATCCAACCTGGAGTTATATGAAACTGTACAACCAAATGTTAGATTGGCCTATTCTGACATTCAACATGTAAAGTTCAAATCTTTGTTTAATGAATTAGATATCTAGATAGGCAATGAAACATAAAAAAATTGAACTTTAGAGAAAAATGATTTTGAATAGGACCGTAGGAGCACATTTATGCTGCAGAAATGACAATTGTAAGGTGTTGGCATCTTGGCGAAGTGATGGAAGCCAACATGATCTGCCAGTAGAGTACTCATCCACCCTGTCAATGTATTGCACTACTTACCCCTAGTTTCCTTTTTCAATTTCAGTGACTACCTTTTCAAACTTCTGCTTATTGGTGATTCTGGTGTTGGGAAATCATGCTTGCTTCTCAGATTTGCGGTAAGAACAACTATTTCTTCTCGTAATCATTCTTTGATACTTCTTTGCTGAAGTGGTGTATTTCTTTAGTGTAGCTGTTGCAATATAATAAATGTACATTTGAAGAAACATGCACCGTGTGACTTAACCTTGCAAGTTACAACTGCAGCTGGAAATCATTGATTACTATAAGTTTTCAAATCATGGAGAGGTCCTGTTCATGATTCTATTTAGCGTTTGCAGGGCCACAGTTTACTTATATTAAAGCATCATTCTTAAAGGTTAATGTAAAATCTTTCTTGCATAGACTGACAATGTTACTGATAAGTGTCCTTCTGTGATTAGGATGATTCATATTTGGACAGCTACATCAGCACAATTGGAGTTGATTTTGTAAGTGCATTGCAAATTCATTTACTTACTCCTGAAAAGAATTAATATAGTTTATTAATTCAAGTTCTCTTTGCGTCCCTTTAATAAGTTTTCTGTTTTATCATTTTTTGCAGAAAATTCGGACAGTAGAGCAAGACGGGAAGACCATAAAGCTTCAAATTGTAAGATTACTGTGCCATATTTTTCTTTTACTTAACATATGTGCATCCTTTGATGTCTTTGTGATGTCATGCTTGATATATGTTTCCCAAGATAAACTGGAGAGTAAAAAGAAAAGTTAGCCTTTTCCATAATAGCTAGCAGAGAAACTGGAAATAGATATCTGTTGATTGATCATGTAGGAAATAAGTTTAAACATGATGTAACTTAAGTTCCCACTAGTTAGCAGATGAACCAGTGTTTTCTAACTGTGGAAATGTATTCCACTATTCATTTTTTATCCTAATATATTGTTTATAACCTGTAGTTGAGTTTGGTTGGTCTAGTTCTGTTGTCATATGTACCAGTGACTAGTGACAACACATTTTCCAATAAACGATTTTTATTTAAAAAAAATATGTAATCTAGAAGTGCAATTCAGCATCAAGTGTTTGAATTATAGCTACATCTAGAGCTTAGTATAATTAGTGAACTAAGAGTAATGCATTCCATAACAATGAACAACAGCCCGGATTTGTCTGAAAAATACCAATACTTTTATGGTATAACTATTGCGTAATTCTTCAACTGACATGATTTTGTAATTGCTGCAGTGGGATACTGCTGGACAAGAGCGCTTCAGGACAATCACTAGCAGCTACTACCGCGGAGCTCATGGAATCATTGTAAGTTGGCCACCTGAACTAGCAACTTCTGAAACTTGTCAACCATATTGATCATGCTACGATACTGTCTATGTTCTATTGTTGGCTTGTAGATTGTATATGACGTGACAGATCAAGAAAGCTTCAATAATGTGAAGCAATGGTTAAATGAAATTGACCGTTATGCAAGTGACAATGTTAACAAGCTCCTTGTTGGGAACAAGAGCGACCTAACTGCCAACAAAGTTGTGGCAACTGAGACAGCAAAGGTAAGCTATCCAGTTTCATGAATTGATAATGACAAGGTCAGCAATATTTCAATTTTCTCCACTCCGCTATGAATTCTTTGGACATTTACAATTGCCTAAACACCATTCAGGCATTTGCTGATGAGATGGGCATTCCATTCATGGAGACGAGTGCCAAAAATGCCATCAATGTGGAGCAGGCCTTCATGGCTATGGCTGCATCCATCAAGGACAGGTACAGCTAACGTGACAACTGGTAAATATCCCATTGCTATCGTGAAATTCTACTGTGTTTAACGAAATCCTACTTGCTGCCGTTCTCAGGATGGCCAGCCAACCAGCCGCGGCTAACGCTAGGCCAGCGACCGTGCAGATCCGCGGTCAACCTGTCAATCAGAAGACTTCTTGCTGCTCATCCTAAGGTTGCCTGATTTCTTTTGTTCCTTGTGTAAACTCAACACACAATTACCACCGTTTGTGTGCGCACAAGTGTATCTGCATCATTGGTTCAGAAGACGCCCATGCTGATAGCATCTATTTGTTGATCGGATGATTAGACAGCTGCAAATATGTAAGAACATAGAGACCGGCCCCTTGTTGCTCTATTGACTTAAGAGCAAAGAACGACAGTTTATTTCCTTAATTCTTTTCGACCGTATTATAATATAGCTTCATCACTGTTTATAAGCCACGGATTGCATTTGTGAACATCCCTCTGATTTGGTTCTGGTGGTTAAGGATAACATGATCATTGTGACTAAAGTGTGTTGTGTAGCAGCAATCTAAGTTGTCATAATGACAGCCTTTATGGTCTGTTGGCTTCAATTATGGTTTTCATGGTGTTAAATCAAACGATATGCTTGAAGGCTCAGGACTGGCTAGCTCGAAGTGCAATTGGAGTTGAAAAATGCCTGGAACGTTCTAGGGTGTTTGGCATGGCTCCTCGAGGGGCTTCTCTAGAGCTCTCCAGTCCCTTTGTTTTTTACAGAAAAGCGGTTTCTTTAGAAAAACGTTTGGTAGGGTTTCTCCAAAAGCCGGAGCCACGTTTGGTAGGGCTTCTCCAGAAGCTAGAGCCAGGGAGGAGCCTTGTCAAACGGGCCCCATAGTATTTGTGTTTTTTTTCTTCCTTTGGCCATAGTATCAGGTGAGATATGAGTAGTTTTGACCTGTTCTAGGCTAGAGCCTTAGATGGTAGGTATACTGCACACATTCTGTGTTGAGCTCTTATGGATGCTAGAAATGCTTAGCAGTTGGATATTGAAACTAAAAGTATCTGAACCACACGTGTGTCGGGATCTAAATTTGCTGGATTAATTTTGAAGTCACCGGATCATCTGGTGACATCGTGCTGATAGCCAGCACAAGTTGTTCCTTCCAATGGGGTTAGAGCAAACGCAGTTTTGGCCAAGACTTGTAAAAATGAACTCCAACAATTTCACATCGTGCCTCCCAATCTCCGTTTGTTCCCCTCCCAATCGACGCTTGGTGCCAGATCGCCTGCTGCATGCCTTTTCTTTTGTGCCTCCTGCGCGGTGTACAGGAGCTGCTCGCTTTATCTCGTTCTCGTGTGCCGGTGCCGCCGGCGCTGTCGCTTGCCTCCCCGCGTGGACCGACCGTCAGAGATGCTGCCGCCCTCGCCGCGCCCAGGCCCACTCGCCTCGTCTCCACCGTGGGGAACCCTTCGAGGCTTCGACAGCCACCTCCTCGTCACTGCTGCCGCAGCCGCTCCCCTTCGCCTCCAGAGCGTGCAAGAATCGACCTCGAAGAAACACGCCCACGTACCGTGTGCTCAGAGAAGGCCTGGAGGTCGGCGCAGCTGGTTCCGCCGTCAAATAGCCCATCCGCGGCGGCCGGAGCCAGCGCTTTCTATAGAAGCTAGCGGGTCCCACCTGTTCAAACTCAAACCAGTCCAACTACGAAGCTCATTCCGGGCAGGGGCCGGCCGCACGGAACCGCGGAAGGTCAAACCGAGCGAAACATGCCTGGTCATCACGGGCCGCCCCGTGTCTGTGTCTCCGTCGCACCGAAGCAAACGCGCGGCCAACGGCCAACGCCTCCGCGAGGGCGAGTGAGGCCAGCGATGACCCACGCCACGCGGGGCGCGCACGCGGCTTTCGCTCCGCGACCGCGAGCCGCGGCTCTCGAGTATTTTATCGTTCCGCCCCTTCAATATCTCACGTTTGCATCTCCATCCAACCACCTGCCCTCGCCTCGCGTCTCTCCTCCCCAGATCCATCGACTCGCTCGAACCGCGGCCCTCCCGTCGTCGTCCCCCGTCCCCGTTCGAAGGCGCGGCAGGCGAGCGATTCCGCCAGATTTGATTCGACATGAATCCCGAGTAGTAAGGCCTCCGATCATCCTTCCCTTCCCTTTCATTGCCTTGTCTTCCGTCACCGTGATCTATGGAGCTACCGCTCTGGTAATTCCGTTGGATTTTCGCTTGTTGCTGTGGTTGCGTTGTTCGGATGATCGAACTTACGGGGATCTGATCAGGTGCGCGCTGGTGGGTCTCACTAGCTTTCGATCTGGATCTGGGAATTTGTGTTCCAAATCGGGATTTCGTGAATGAAAGGGCCTCCTTCTGCCGCGGTGCTTTGGTGTACCTCTGCATGGAGAAATTTACGTTGTACAGCTTGGTGCACCTTTGATGGCTGCGTTTGCTCTCCGTCTAGATTATGCTTGGCTTTGTAGGGCGTGGTGAGAATGCGCTCTGGTGCAGCGATATTGGCTTTCTAGAGAAAAATAGCTGGAGAATTATGATGGGAACTTAAACATTATTGCATTATGAGTTTTGTTTATATTTTTGGTGAACTGTTCATTACTATAGATCACAGCATTTGTTAAATAACTTGCAGATGTTGCAGTTATGTAAAGAACATAAAAGTTACTACGTAATAGTTATTGCTCCATTGGAACGTCCATTATATATGGTCAATGTGGAACAAGTATTTGCTCCCTCTGATCGGAAGTGTATGATGTTTGCTCTTTTCTGGCTTTTAAGATGCGGCTTTGACCATATTTTTCTATGAAAGTATTGTTGTAGTGTTTAATGAATGTGTGTGGTTGAGAAAGTGTTAGTAAGACAAATCTACCCATAACATTTTTATATCTCCAAACTGAATATTTTGAGAATATGGGTTGATTTTGATCATTTTTTAGCCAACCTGTCATATATTTGTGGCAGGAGGAGTATGTTGACAGTGTTGTGTAGCAAAAAAAAAGGGCAAATATTAGAGTATCGCCTGTTTACATTATCGTTGTAGTGCTATTACTGAATCATCAACCATCCAAGGGACTATGATAACTCAACTACCGAAGGAACCCAGTCTGGAGATATATGAAAGTGTGTAACACACACGGTAGATTGGCCTCTTCTGACATTCAACATGTATACTTCAAATCTTCGTGTTATGAATTTGATGGCTATAGTATAGAAAATTCGGAACTTTATAGAGAAACAATTTTGAATAGGACTGCCAGAGCACATTTATTTTGCGATAATGGCAATTCAAAGTCGTTGGCATATTGGTGAAGTGATGGAAGCCAACATGATCTACCAGTAAATTTCTATCTACCTTGTCAATGTAATGCACTACTTAACCTAGTTTCCTTTTTCAATTTCAGCGACTACCTTTTCAAACTTCTGCTTATTGGTGATTCTGGTGTTGGGAAATCATGCTTGCTTCTCAGATTTGCGGTAAGTACTACTGTTTCTTCTCATAATCATTCGTTGATACTTCTACGCTGAAGCAGTGTATTTCTTTAGTGTAGCTGTTGTAATATAAATAAATGTATATTTGAAGAAATGTGCACTGGGTGACTTAACCTGACAACTGCAGCCAAAAAGCATTGATTACAATAAGTTTTTAAATCCTGGAGAGTTCCTCTTGATGTTTCTATTTCATTGTTTCACAAGGCCATATTTTACTTATATTAAAGCATCATCCTTAAAGCTTAATGTCAATGTTTCTGATAATTTTCCTTCTGTGATTAGGATGATTCATATTTGGACAGCTACATCAGCACAATTGGGGTTGATTTTGTAAGTGCATTGCAAATTCATTTACTTACTAGTTAAAATAACTGATTTACTTTAATTCAACTTTTCTTTGTGGCCCAGCAATAACTTCTCTTTTTTACCATTTTTGCAGAAAATTCGGACAGTAGAGCAAGATGGGAAGACCATAAAACTTCAAATCGTAAGATTACTATGCTGTATATTTCTTTTATATATCATATGTGTATGGTTTGATGTCTTGTGATGTCATATTTGAAATAGTATGTTTCCCTAGGTAAACTGGAAAGTAAAAACAAAAGTTAGCCTTTTCATGATAGTAAGTAGAGAAACTGGAACATTGATATCTGTTGACTGATCATGTAGGAAATAAGTTTGAACGTAATGCAACATAAGTTCCCACAAGCAGATGAACCAATGTTCTCAAAATGTGGAAATGGTATTTCTATTCTTAATTTTTTATCTAAATTTTGTTTAACCTGTTATGTAATCTAGAAACGCAATTTGGCATAAGTGGTAGAATTATAGCTACATCCAGAGAATATCATAATCTACTATTCATTGGTGAACCAGTGTGTCGGTTATCGATATTAGGGATACCCAAAGCATGGAAGTTAGCGCCCCCGGATGGCTCGAGATGTATTAAAAGGTCTCGCCCGATCCCAAGGCCGCGGACTCCGTCTCGCCCGACCTTGAGGCCGCGGGCTCCGACTCACCTGACCCCTTGGGTGCGGGCTCCGTCTCGCCCGACCTCAAGG